CCCCCTACGACCTAATATATTTTATCATTTTTACTAAAGGGCTTATACATTACCTCAGTGCCACAAAAATGTAGTGCCTAGAGTGCTCAAACCGGAGTTAGCAAATATAAAGGTAGATATTTTGTACGTGTTTGTTTCACGAAAGTATATATCGCTATTTAACTTATACGATAGTATTCCTTCCACTCGTGAGCTCAAACCATTACGGTTTGTCCAGGCCTTGTGACCCAAAGTGCCCATCCAGGGTCACAAGGCCTGGACAAACCGTAATGGTTTGAGCTCACGAGTGGAAGGAATACTATCGTATAAGTTAAACAGCAATATATACTTTCGTGAAACAAACACGTACAAAATATCTACCTTAGGATAAAGGCCTATTAAAGCCAGACTATGGAAAATGAGAAGATCAAAATATTTTCTATTTTTTATATTTGTAGTATAAAGTTCAAACAGTTTTTATTTTCACTGGCTTGAATCCGGGTTTTTCCATTAATTTAGTTTATTGTACGATCATCCAGATTAAATTTTTTTAATTATTTCTGACGTTTCGGCTACCTACACGGCAGCCATTTTCAAAGACGTACTACAGTTACAAAAAAATTTACAGTTATAATAATTTTATCTTGCGTCAAAAATGACGTGCGCGTGTTCGTGATGTTGTTTGCTCGCGCCTGCGTTCAAGCACAGAGTAGAGACATACAGAGACGTAACTAGTGTACCCACTTTTTTTGTGCGCATGCTCGGCAAGTTACTAGATGCATGCATCTGATTGGATGACGACCTAATGACGACTCACTTTAAACTTGCTGAGCATGCGCAGTTGATCATTTTTCGCCCGGTCGCCTGAAAAAAAGTGGGTACATGATAACGTAATCTTCCGCAGTGTTTACAACGGTCAGTTACGTCTCTGTATGTCTTATCTACTCTGTGGTTCAAGGCATGAGAGCTTGCGTTCATGCGTGATTAGTCCAGCGTATGCTCCTGGCATATCGCGGCAAATGTTAATGCTGTTTTTATCGCATTTTGTAAACCAACTTTCCAAGAACATTCTCTCATCCTCAAAACCATTAAACTCCATACAAGTGGCTCCCTCCCAATCAATCCTATGATTTGTTTCCATATGATGAACCGCAATTCTATTCGCCACGTCTTGTTTCTCTGTTGATCGCTTATGTTCTTTAATGCGACAATCTAGAGTACGTCCAGTTTCACCGAAATAAGTTGCGGGGCATTCAGCGCAGGTCACTTTATAAACTGTTCCTATCCGGGTCTTTGTATTGGTTGGATCTTTCACTTTCGTTAGAAAGGTGGTGGTCTACATTTTTTCAGTACAACGGAAGTTTCTACCAACAACTTCATGGCACAGCAATGGGATCTCCAGTTTCCGTAGTCGTAGCAGAGATTGTAATGCAACGGTTAGAAGAACGAGCATTGTCCTCATACCCAAACCCATCACCTTTTTGGTTTCGCTACGTCGACGATACCTTGACGAGTGTCGATAAACATCAGAAAAACGACTTTCTTGACCACCTCAACAAGCAAAACCCCAGTCTACAGTTCACCATGGAACCTGAGAAAGATGGTAAGATAGCTTTCCTAGACTGCATGATAACCAGAGACGGCAATTCCCTTCAAACGAGTGTCTATCGAAAACCCACCAGCACCAGCCGTTTATTAGATAATTCATCCTACCACCCAACCTCGCACAAGTCAGCTACAATAGCAACCTTAGTGAAGAGAGCACATGCAATTTGCAGTTCTAGTGAAACCCTCGAAGATGAGTTGCAGCACCTTGATAAAGTTTTTACCATCAACAAATATTCTAAACCTTTTGTGAACAACGTAATTGAACATTCCCGGAAAACAACACCAACTACCGACGAAACTGAACGGAAGAAGACCATTGCCACCATCCCTTACATCAAAGGTACATCCGAAAGAATTGCAAGAATCCTACGACCTCTCAACATCAGTGTGGCTCACAAACCAACGGTAACGCTAAGAAATACCTTAACGAAAGTGAAAGATCCAACCAATACAAAGACCCGGATAGGAACAGTTTATAAAGCGACCTGCGCTGAATGCCCCGCAACTTATTTCGGTGAAACTGGACGTACTCTAGATTGTCGCATTAAAGAACATAAGCGATCAACAGAGAAACAAGACATGGCGAATAGAATTGCGGTTCATCATATGGAAACAAATCATAGAATTGATTGGGAGGGAGCCACTTGTATGGAGTTTAATGGTTTTGAGGATGAGAGAATGTTCTTAGAAAGTTGGTTTACAAAATGCGATGAAAACAGCATTCACATTTGCCGCGATGTGCCAGGAGCATACGCTGGACTAATCACGCATGAACGCAGACTCTCATGCCTTGAACGCAGGCGCGAGCAAACAACATCACGAACACGCGCACGTCGTTTTTGACGCAAGATAAAATTATTATAACTGTAAATTTTTTTGTAACTGTAATACGTCTTTGATAATGGCTGCCGTGTAGGTAGCCGAAACGTCAGAAATAATTAAAAATTTTAATCTGGATGATCGTACAATAAACTAAATTAATTAGTTTTTATTTTAATATTTTCATGTTTTTTTTTTTTTTTTTAATCATGACCATGCACTCAGATATTGGCCAAATATATAGTTTACAGACTATAGACAGTGCAAGAAAGTTTTCAAAAAACACATATTCTCGCCGCATTTGTGTTAAAACTCAGCATGCAGCAGCTATTTTCACGTCTTCGCGTCCGACTTCAATAAACGAATTAATATATTGTGCATGAAAGTTTTTTAAAAAACATTCCCGTAGGCGCTACATACAAAATTAAGAAAACTATTTTTTGGAAATGAGTTCAATACTATAGCTAAACCGGCTACAATCTACATGCAGAAAACTCACCATGCAGTATCTGTTCGATGATCAGCTTCAGTTTTTGCAAGTCGACTTATAATGTTTTGAAAAGTCGCCAGTGCAGTAAAACTGGCGACCGAACCTTGCCGCCGCTTGATACTTTAAAACAGACAAATTTTGACAAATAATCCACAGCACCGGACGACATGATCGGCTATAAACATAGCAGTCGCGTGCACTACTGCCGTAATCTTTTTCATTCGAACTAACTCGAGCTCGAAAGCATTTTTGCTAGCAGACAAATGGTAAACTCCCCCCCCCCCTGTAAGCTGTTTTGTCGGTTTTTTGATAGCCAATTAGATCGCGTATACGTGCTTTGAAACGGCGATTTTCGCATGGCAACAGGTATCCCGCATCGAGACACGGCAAATTCAAAGAAAATTTTCGTATTTTTTCGTCTTTTAAACTTGTAGGATAGTTTTACTAAATATGTACAACGCTGCTATTTTTTAGCGTACTTTGTTCACGAGACGTTGTTTTTTTCGACTTGTTTAAGTCGTGGCGAGTCATGATATTATTTACTTGTCAACCTTAGGATATTATACTACTGCATCATACGTCACGGCGTGCGGATTGTTGGGCTACCTATGGTTTTGTACAAAAAATATGAAAAAATTAAAAATTTAAGAACATCGTCATGGCAACACTTGAGCGCAAGCGTGCGTTCAGTGGGCCATTTCTGAATACTTCATGTTAATTTAATGTTTGGAAAATATTGGCGAGGGGTTACTGCATGCATGTATTTCGAATATTTTACAAAACTCCAGAAAATAATACTAAAGTTTAAAAGCTTTTTTTAAAGCTTTTATATAGAAATAAATAAGCAGAATTTTAGTAAATCAAAAGCTATTGGAGTATTGCATTCTACATCAGACCTTACCTCTTGGCATGGCTACTGGCTGCATGTAGATCTAAATAAAATTTGGATCAAATGTTCGTATCTGATCCTATTCGATTGACCAATTTGACCGTGGTTTAATAGATCGCTACTTACTGTAGGTATAGTCATCACTCAAGTCATGGAAGTAAATTTGAATGTTTATAATTTAGATATATATTCAGTTCATGAATGTACATTCTATAATGAGTCATTCCAGAAAAATCCGCACCACTATACAAAAACATAAATAATCCATCTGAAAAAGTAATATAATTCGGATTGATTCCGTAGCATGTTTTGATTCAGGCGACTATACCTATTTTCAATTCCCTTCAAGGGAGGGAGTGTGGCCTGGCATTTCTAAAACAACCCAATGTTTAGAAGTATAATGCTTATGAATATGTTTGAAAATTGTTTGCAAAATTAATTGCATGTTTACACAAGCCCATTATATAATCAAAATAGAAAGAAGTTAGTAAGAACATATTTGATTCCCAATTCTGTTTATTGAAATAGATCCTGTCAACATGGATATCACCTTTTGTGTAAAAACAGCAAAGTCAAGATAACTTAAAAGGGAAATGGCAATATATTTTTTTATTTTCTCATTTGAAAGAACTTTTGAAACTATTTAATAACTTATTTTACCTATTCTGCATATCTTGCTTAGTTCTTGAAATATTTTCACTTGAAGTATAATGAGATGTCAGCCATCTTGGACAAATTTTTGATTCATTATAACGGTAGTTTTGGTGACGTCACAACAGGGATTAACCATATAAAAGCATTCGTTGCTGACTAAATATTGATTGGTAGATGTTTTAAAGGTTTCAAGTGATCTTGGTATTTCGAAGGGCATACAGAGTATAATTTTGAGTGCAAAATGATTAGTGGTTGTCTAGATAAAAATATTACGTGACCCCTGTTGTGACGCAACTTGCATATCTACAAAATTCCAAGATGGCGGGCATTTCATTTCTTTCCATTAAAATATTTGTAGAAGTAAGGGTGTGGTCATTATTTATGGGGAGGGG